TGCTGCCAACGGATTTCGTCTTCGTGTCGTCTGCTTTCTTTCGTTGGTTGGCTGCACTTTCGGACGTTTCGGACGCTGCTCCCGACGCCATCTATCAATACGAGCGCCAAACACACCTTTGGTAGGCGGCGTCGCCGCCCGCCGTAGACCCTGTCAAGTTTCTTGGCCATATTTTTTACAGATAGAGAGCTACTCTTTGTAATTTTACAAGAAAAAACCGACCTTTGAAATACACCTTTGACAAAAAGTTTAGATTGCTACGTGCAGGCATCGATTTTTACGGTCCGTTTTAGATCGAGCCTGGTGACTTGGGTCACCCTTTATATATACAGGGTGTTTCACGAGAGGCGGACAAATTCGATAATGCAAAAACTACGTATCGCACAAAAAAAAGAAAATTAAAAAAAAAAAAAAAAAACGCAGATCCTCGACGGGTTTTTAAGTTTCGGTTTGCAATCTGAGCGCTTCTCGGCACCGACGGCACCGCGCCCCGTGGAGAAATAGTGCAACCTGCCTCCGCTGCGTTGCGCGAGGACAGCGAAGTAGATGTTGGTTGCACTATTTCTCCAAGGGGCGCGGTACCGACGTCGATGCCGAGAAGCGCTCCAACCGAAACTTAAAAACCCGTCGAAGTGGTGCGGTCTTTCAGAAAGCTGTAAAGTGCAGCGCGTGCCTCCTATCGCACTCCATTCTTCTTTTTTTTTTATTTAGTGTGTTTCGATGACGCTTAGTAAGTTTCCAAATGAAACCATGCCTTTAAAGGGGTGATGCAACAATTTTTGTACTTTGCGCAAATACCGCTTAGAACGGCCCCTTAACGTTAATGACCTGTGAAACCCGCGTTCGTTTTTCATCCCACGCAATAGAAGTCACAGAAAAAATTAAAGAAAAATGAGCAGCGTTCATCCCCTCCACTCGCAGCCAGAACAAGCGGCCACGTGATATGGAGCTGATTATATGTCGCCAATATTGATCATAGCCACGCGCTAGGGTTGGCAAAGTACAGGACACGCGCTGAGTTCTAGAAATTGTTATGGCTCGGCTATTGTCGTCGTTGCAGCGATTGGACACGGGCCATTACCCGGATGCTTCTCTAGCTATAGTAGCCCAAATCGAGTGCCCACGCAATGTTCGGGAACCGCACTCAGATATCGTCATTGGGGTGTATTGCGATCCCCGCGTTACGTCATCAAAGTTTGCAAAGGAGAGATCGAATGAAAATGATCGCTTTTGTCCTTGAAATTACACCGCAACAAAGAAGTTTCTTGGCCAGTGGCGTTGCGTGTATCCTTGAGTCCCACTAGTGCCAGTAAGCTCGTGTAGAGTGAAAAACACTCCAATTGAATATCGTTGCACCGCTCCTTTAAGCTCAGTATTTAAAAAGAATAATAATTACGCGAAAATAATTCCCAACTTAATTATCCCGAACTTTATTAATTTTCCTATATAGGCCGCTGGCCTAGGACCAAAACGACTCAAGCCTTTTTTAGGTGCGATGCGTAGTTTTCGCAATATCGAATTTGTCCACCTTTTGTGAAACACCCTAGTATATACAATGATAATGTAGTGATTGCGCAGGCGAGCTGGTGGATGTTAACCATTTTGTTCTTAGCCCGAGACTGAGGCAGGAAAAGGGGAAAGTTTCAAAGTAGAAGAAAAATGAACAGTCGAGGACACGTCTCTAACACAGCTAAAGACAAGTTTATTTGGTCATTCTCTTATATACACTCCAGTGTATATAAGAGGGTGACCAAATAAACTTGTCTTTAGCTGTGGTAGAGACGTGTCCTCGACTGTTCATTTTTCTTCTACATTGAAACTTTCCTCTTTTCCTGCCTCAGTCTCGGGCTAAGAACAAAATGGTTAACCCTGTATATATTTGTAATAATTTGGTGATAACTAGACAGCTGCACCTTAGAATGGTCACCATCTTTATTTGTTTTATTTTATCTAGTAATATTGAAGACACTGGTAAAACATCCTATGATACAAAATTTTCATCTGCATAGCTTTCTGAATGCCGACTGTTCCAGAGCATGCTGCTGCTTTTTTCCCCTTTTTCTCCTTTCTCTCAACTACCATTTTCTTTTTTCTCTCCACTAACTTGATTTATTTTCTCTCTCTCTCTCTCTTACTCTCTTCTTTTTTCCCCAACGTTATGTCTACCTTGTTTTGCATTATCGCTCTTTCTGTATCATTTGCAGGAAAAGTAGACAGCTAGGATTCGCTTTTATGCCAAATTATCCCTCATATTCAACCAGGTAACGTAGGTATACCACTCCGCCGCGCCTCAAGAGTTATTTTCATGCGTATGAATGAGCTCTAAAAATACTCACGCTTTGACTTCACCGCACAGCGTGAAAATCTATCCACCGAGAGAGCTCAGCGAGTGAAGATACCTGCTCTGGTGCACCAACGCTTTTGTTTCATGAACTTAATACCTTAATTAGACTCACTTTTTTTTCTTCTTTTTTTACCAAAACGTATTTTGGTTGCGTTATTCTCCCATAAGTCACAGCGATTGACTCTCTACGTTCGTGTCCTCGGAAAAGCTAGACACGTGGGCATTTTGTGAAGCGATGGCACCATAGGAAATGAACAAAAAAGACTACATGCACGTAGCGTCATGTACTATGCATGACGCTAGATAATCATGTATCGTGCATACGTAATATGCCAGCCGTTTAAAAAATATTTGCGCATGTGCTTTTCCCCAGAGCACACGGATAGACAGACTATCACTGCAATCACAAAAAGAAAAGAAAAGAAAAAAAGATCTACAAAAAACACACACACACAGCCAAACAGACATACAGACAGACAGACACAGACAGAACGACAGAGGAAAAACGACATTTTTAACACGGAAATGAAATTTGCGTTGGTACATCACTGAACATGATATTTCCCATGTATACAGTGTCCCAAAAGCAGATCCCGAGTTCAGGCTTACTTTCATAAAACGCCATCAGAGAAGTCGCCGAGTCACCAACTGGGCCCAAGTCTGATGCCAGCGTTCTTCGGCACATTGACTTGACTCGAGGCTCAATCAAACGCTGACAGAGCGCTTGTATCCAGTTTGTGTCTTCGCTGGGTTTGACTGTGATGACGTCAAAATTCGAGTTCACGGGCTTCGGTTATTCGAGGTGGTGTTGGTTTAGGTCAGGTTTATTTTGGTCTCGCCATGCGCTGACTCTTCACGTGCTCTGCGGGAGAGTGGACATTCGGGCATTTCTCAGGGTACTTGCCAAAACCATCGGATCTGAGGATCGCATTGCAGAACCCAGGAATCCTAGGTTCAATCCCTGCCCCTGCCAGTTTTGATCTGGATGAGCATCGTACCGGCGTTTGGCCGTGTATCACTACCGGGCGATGCATGTTAAAGACCTCATGCTATATTAGTGATACTGCACTGACTAAATTTTTCATCTACGGTGGCGACACCAGCTAGACGCATATTGGGACTAACTTACTCCCCGCTGTCAAAACAAACACAACACTTTTTTTCGGTTTTCTAGCTGGTGCTGGCTTAGCTCGGGTTTATATCGGTCTCACGGTTTTCCGATTCTTGGCGTGCTCTGTGGGAAAGTAGACGCTCGGACATTTCTTTAGAGTGCACTTATCAATCCCACTGGAATTGAGAATCCGTATTGGGACCATGGGCCATGGGTAGTACTTCAATTACAGTGATTGAATTACTGTAATTCAATTACTTTTATTTGTAATTTTAATTAATTACTTTCGGTCAAAAGGAATTGTAATTGTAATTTAATTACTTTCTAGCGTCAGTAATTGCAAAATTTCAGGCACAATTACAATTACTTTTGCAAGACTTTGCCGCGCCGACAAATACTCTCTGAAAGCCTCAGCGCTCGCACATGCGGCCTAGCTCTCAGGGAAACACTCGCACAAAGACACGCACTCACACACACACACAACATAATTAGCGTCGCATTGGTCGCTGTTTTGTTGCTTACACTGCGGGATGAGAGACAATCCTCTTTGGAGCCTACCTCAACGGCGCCGTGTTGCGTCGTCTGCTGTGCGATCAGAAAACAATAGTGTAAACATGCCAAAATAATAAAAGAAATAAATTGAGCTTCAGCTTTTACATGAGCTAGGGATTTTAATCTTCTATGAAGTATTTTTTGCCAGTTTTTTACGTCTTTCTTTTAATACTGTCGCATATTTGTATCTTTCTCATTTTTTCAAGTTTATTTCCTGCTGGTTTTACTTGGTATATTTTTTACATACGCATTTTGGAAACTGACCTCGCACCTGTGAATATTGTCATCAATGATTCAGGAGCCTGGACTCGGTTCTTATATATTTCTGAGCCATTATAATTTCAACTCGATGTAAATAATTTACAATACCATGATGTTTGGATGTGAATGTGGTCGTCTTAGTGCGTGTCGATTTTAGTTTTATATGAACACTTGTAGAATATAATATGACTAATTGTCGCATTTTTATTTGCCGGGCTAAGAAAACTGTCAACCCATTTTTTTCTTTAGCGACCATGCGTCTTCTAGGATATGAACTAATTTATTATTTATAAAAAAAAAATATTTAAAAAAGTAGTACTTCATTGCCTCAAACGGTCAAGTTCTGTCATGAATTCAACAAAATTCATAAAATGGAAAGTACAATATGCAACCTTTATAAAGCGATACTTAAAAAAAAAAAAAGAAGAAAGCCTCCTCAAGCAGTGGGACAAGAAATGAACAACTACTGTATGTTGCGTCCTATACAACTCGTTTAAAGTTATATGACCCAAGTCGGGTCGCTCTCAAAAATAAGTAATTGTAAAGTAATTGCATTACTTTTTTAAGTAATTTGAAATTGTAATTAATTACCTTTCGCGCAGTAGTAATTGTAATTGTAGTTAAACTACTTTTGAAGCAAAGTAATTGTAATTGTAATTGAATCACATTTCGAAAGTAATTTACCCATGTATGCGGCCATATAGATCGAGATGCATTGTCTCCCGCACGCAGTTCTGGTCCCACCTCCGACGTCCTTTCGGCATCGTGGTGGGCATGCTGAGCCAGTTCGTGGTGATGCCGCTGATCGCCTTCGGCCTCATCTCGGCCATGCGGCTCAGCGGCCTGTACGCCATCGGCATGCTCGTCATTGGCTGCTGCCCCGGAGGTGCCGTGTCCAACATCTTCGCCTACTTCTGCGACGGCGACGTGCCCCTCAGGTACGCCACCCGTCATGGCACGTTCTTGCTGTTGGCTTGGGCTTCTATTATTGCACCTAGCAACTCTCCGACCGGTGTGTTTACCGCCCCCCCCCCCCCCCCCCCCCAAATCCATCCCCCTGGGAAATTGAGAACTTTCCGCCTATGCTTGATGCGTCTCACAAACTGCCGGTTGCGTTTGCAATCTTAAAAATGGGGACTTTTAGCAAACCGATACCGTGTTCCGCGTAACGCACTACCGGAGCCTTCGAAGCCTGCTTTAAGCGCGCGCCACCTGGGTGAAAACGTGACCGCGGGAAGCGCGCTTAAAAGTTAGCTGCAAAGGCTGCGGTAGTGCGGTACGCGGAGCACGGTAACGGTTTGCTAAAGCAGTAGAGAGTTTTGGGGAACCGTTTTTTGCAGATCTAATTCGGTACAATGGGCCCTCCGCCACGAACTGCCCATATGCTATCGCATAAGACTCGCGCATGCGCAGTTCGTACCGGAAGCTCCATCGTACCATATCGGATGTGCAAAAACGGTTCCCTAAAACTATCTAAAGACCCCAATGTGAAGGGTGCGCACATACCGTAGAAGCTCCTATCAGCCCGCGTTCAGTCGCATTACGCATAAAGTCATGTCCGCGAGTGAGCATAAACGAACATCCTTTTCTCATACCGAATGTCTGCGCGAATGCTGCTCAACTAGAAAAAAAAAAGGTAATAAATTATTGTTTATTGATCCCGATTTGTGCGCAGCATCGCCATGACTCTGTGCTCGACCGTGCTGGCAATGGGCATGATGCCGCTGAACATGCTGATGTACGGCCAGTACGTGGACACCGGGGACATCGTGATCCCCTACTCCAGAATGGCCACGAGCCTGGTCATGGTCTCGGTGCCGGCCGGCTTCGGCATTCTCTTCAACTGGTTCTTCCCAAAAATATCGCCGTACATTACAAAGGCGAGTCGCCTTTATGTCCCATTTTATTATGACATCGAAATATATACGAAAAGCCTGCCTTTCCAGCAAACCACCACGGTAGTGCAGCTGTCGGTGAGATAGTCCGATTTCGACGAAGAGTTGTAAAAGTAACTGGTGTGCAGTGGCGTACCAACTTGTTTTCGAGTGGGCGGGGGGGGGAAGGGGGGCAAACCAGACCCCCCCTCCCCAGGGCCGGGGGACGCTGCCCTTGGTATCCCTTGGGCGCCGCCGGCCTGTTTCGGGGGGGGGGACAAAACACATACCTTGTTCCCTCCCCCCACCTTGCCCCTCCGGTTGGTACGCCCATGGGTATGTGTTTGTTTAGACAGCGGGAAGTTAATGCGCTTTGGACGACAAATGTAGCCGTTGCAGTGCCGCTGCTAGGCTTTTTATTGTGAATCATGCGGTGGGGGGGGGGGGGGGGGGGGGGGTGATACACGACCGCACGCCGCTACGATGCTCACCCGAGCACTTTGTTGGACAGCGAGATCGCCGACCGCCGCAATTGGCCAGCGCCGGCTAATCTTGGCGCTGGCCAATCGCAGCGCGGCGCTAGCCAATCACGATGGTCGGTGATCTCGTCGACTTTCTCGCCAAGTGTCCAACCTAACGCTGGTGCACAGATTTGCAACGGTTGCTTTCGTAACAACCAAAACGGCAGAAACGGTGGGGAAACCGAAACAGCCGTGACTTAGGATTGCTTCACCGCGAACCTCTCGCATCGCCTGCCACGTTAATAGACCGATCTCAGAGTCATTTTCATTACGGCACCGCTGCCGCCATGTGTCGTGGGAACTGTGTAGTCTTTCTGCACGAGCGATAACCCCGCGAGCAGAGCGCGAAACGGCACGAGCTGCCTCGTAAACAGGCGTCAGCCTTCTATGAACTACAGTTATGGCGGCGTCACGCATCCGTGGAATCCTTAGCGAGATCGGTGTATTGTGTACGGCGAGCACTCGTCCCGTTGACCTTGTCGTTGCTGTCATCATCATCATCATCGTAAACTTTATTAATTGATAAAGTGAAAGGGCCTTGCGGTCTCTGGTCGGTGCCCTTAGTCCAGGGCTCCGTTGGCCGCCCAGATTCGGCGGGCTCGCTCAACCAGTAAATCTGCAAATTAGCCTTTAAAGGGAAGCTGAAACACTTCTTGAAGAAAACGAGTTAGAGGCGAATTCTGACGTATTTTTATCCCGTGAATCTGAATATCACGTTCGTTTTGCCCGAAGATGCAACTAAACGCGAGAAAACACGAAAAACTTCCGACCAATCGTGACATTTTTGGGCCGCCAAGCGCGTGTCGCTCGTGGTTCCCAGGTATTAGCGCCGAGATATTTCGGTGGCGCCCCCTAATGGTTTCTATTCGTGACGTCACGACTGGGGTTTGCCTCGCCGTGACGTTACCAGTTTTTACCCTGGCTGCTTACCACCAGGTTACGGGTGCGGCGACGAGCTCGATTGTGTTTAAAAAGCACAGTGGAAGATAGGAACCATCGCAACCGGAACTAACGCCGTCAAAGTTGACAATCTGACAATGCTCATATGCCCATGGTCTGGCCAATCGTGGAAAGCTGACCGCAGCGACGCTTTTGGTCGCGCACATCGCTAATATTGTCCCTCATTGACACCAGTTGTGACGTCTCTTTGTGACCTTTTTTTGAAAATAGCAAGAGTGCGCGTGCATAGCTTTGACAGGCGCTCAAGATGCGCGTTAGCGGAGATTCCGAAAACACCGAATATGACGTGACAAAAATAATCCCTGGAGAAGGGGAAGAGGAACAAAAGACAAACACAAACCTTTGTCCTTCTTGTTCCCCTTCTCGAGGGATTATTTACGTCATTCTAGTCCAGCTCGCTTCCACCTTTGCATTTAATTGCATTATAGTATGACGTCACGCCCCGGAAAGGAGAGGCTTCAGCGGTACCTTGAAAATTAATTTTTGCAGCTTTAGTGCACCAAATTGAAAAATAACCTCGACATTCGTGATCCTGGAGGCCAAATGAAGACGACTTAGATGTTTTTCCTCATATACAGAACCGCTCCAGTTTCCCGATCAAAACGGGTGGGAGTATGGATTGAACCCAGAATCCCTGGGTTCTGCTGCTCCAGCTTTTACTCCGCGTGCCCCAAGCTGTGGTGCGTTAATTAACGCACTACGCACGCCACGCGGCGTTTCTTTTTTTTTTTTTTTTTTTTTTTGGGGGGGGGGGGGAAGGAAAGTGCAGCGCGTTCATTTCACACTTGATTTGATGCGAGATTTTGGACCGCCTTGATCCGCAGTGGGGCAGCAGCGTCGGAGGTCTGATCATCGTGGCGTCACAGATCATGGAGGTGTTCATCTTCCCCGACCTGTTCAGCGGCATTCCGCCCGAGCTGTACGGAGCCACCCTGATCATGCCCCTGACGGGCATGGTCGCGGGCTACGGCGCCAGCTGGGTCTGCCGGAGGCCCGAAGCCGTGCGCAGGACGGTGGCCATCGAGTCTGGCATCCAGAACGTGGGCACGGCGCTCACCATCGTCTCGCTCTCGTTCCAGTTCGAGGCAAGTACCAAATACTTTACCAGGAGAATACGCACTCTACATGTTCGTCTGTGGGGCGATTCGCACACTTGTGTTGAGTTCGACCGAGTGCGACTGCAACCGGTTTTTAAGCCTCTTGCGACAGCTTACAACCGCTTAAAAACCGGTTACAGTTGGTCGGACTCAGCGCAAGTGTGTGAATCGCGCTTTAGACAGCGCGAGCCCAAAATACTCCCCCAGCGATGGAGGCACTTCGTGTCCGAGAGAACGCCCGTGCGTCGCATCATCCTGGTCGTCCGTATACGGTCCACACTGTCGCGCGTTCACCCGGCGCCGAAGGGGAGCATGCCGCCCAGCTTGATCGTTGTAGTGGTTGTAGCGCCAGTGCGGCCGCCGGACGGTCATCTGGCATGGCGTTGCAGACGCGGGGTGCCAGCGTGCCTAAGACACGTTTTCTACTCGTTCGTCGTTATTCGCCGAAGATGATTTTTAAAACGTAAACGGTGGTCATTGCCTTTGGGAACACGTGTAAATCTTTCCGAAAGCGCAGCACCGCAGGAAAAAGGAACAATTTGACGAACACAGGTCTTGCCAGTCTAGCGGCGTGATCAAAGCTTCCTTGGCATGCCGAAGTGCTGCGTCTCTGTGCTTTCGCACGCTTGGATACCGATCAAGAATCGACGCCGTGTGTGGATGTTTCGCGAGTGCAATGTGCCTGAAGACGTATGTAACTCTGGACCAGCGTTTTACTTTACTCTCACGACTGTATTGGTAACTTGCGGCCCTCGCGGTCCAAAAACGAGCTTGATCCACTATCCAGTGGCGACGGAAAAGAGGGGAAGGGGGAAAAGATGACACCTAAAGCGTTCTTTTTTTAAGACGCTTAAGGCATTCAATTTAGTGGAACAAAAATCTATTTCTACCGCCCCCCCCCCCCCCCCACCTCTCTCCCCGTTTTCCCCCCAGCTTTGACAACTCCGCGAGACCGGCGAGACTTGCGTTTGACGAGTTGTGCTTTTTTTCCTGCGGTGCTACTCTTTCGTAAAAATTTCCACATGTTCTCAAAGGCAGTTTGCACAAAATAAAAAAAAAAAATCATTTTGCGGCGATTGACGACGAACGAGCAGAAAACGTGTCTTCAGCACGCTGCCGCCCAGCCTCTGCAACACTCAAAAAAGTCGATTTTGCTACATCCAAAATGGCCGTCCGGTGGCCGCACTCACGGTACACTGTCCTCACGGAGCGGTGAAAGCGCGACCTAACAATTATCAAAGAGATCAGTGGTGCCGCCGGCTGTCTCCTCTGTCTCGACGGGTGTACACGACGATAGATGGCGGCAGTTACCCCTCCCAATTCAAAGGAAAAAGTTGAAAACCTCGAGGCCGCGCGCGTCCAGCCGTTCCAACTGCGCAAATCCTGTCGGCGCCAAGTACGTAAAGTATTTGAAGCAAGTACTCGTATTATGACGACCCTTTCCAGCGCTTATCACCCAGGCGAAAAATGCTAAGTCGCTGGGTTGTGGACGCACGCGCGGCGTCCGGTGCGCAAAACGCCTTCCAGTTGACAAAGGTGGCAGCATGAAGGTGATCATTAGAACGGTGTACCGACAAACTCACTGTTTGTAAACAAGCCCGCGTTTGCCCAGCGCTTGCGCAGAAACCAGATTCCGGAGAGGCGGAGCGTCCGCGCATGCGCAGAGCCAACAGCAGCGCTACCACAGTGGTGTGACGTCAGAGAGTTGAGTTCATCTATAGCATATAATAACGGATAATCGTCACGCTTTTATTTTTGGGTGTGTATTTATCTTGCATCGCTTTTTTATTTATTTTTTCGCAAGTGTTTAATGAACGAGTAACACGCTTCGTTCATTGGGCTTTCGTCGCCGCTTGTGAGGTAAGTCCATCAAAAGACTTTGCAAAAACCGGCTAAAAAAAAAAAGAAAAAAAAAGGTAGTTACCTTTATTTTGAAAATCCTCATGGAATGCATCCTTTAGAATGCAATCGTTTCAATTTGTTTAGATGACATTAAATATTCGTTTCCAGGTTAATCACCATCACCCTCCTCTGAATCACCATGCGGAGTGTACCAATACGTGGTAACTTGTAAATGGGCATACACATTAGCCGGCGCACGTAAAAAGCCGTACAGCTGGCGCAGAGGTAGGGCTGCGGACCAGGAAGTTCGGGATTTGTTGGATTCATTGTATGTACGGACGCACGGGGAGACGGACGGGCAAATTTCTGCAAGCAGGGAGTTCCTTCGCTAAGTCATTATTTGTTTTAAAAAGTTTCACAGGTTTTACAAAATGTTTTCAGCGACAGAGTCAAAAGCCCAGCACCACCAGGAGGCGGGTCTGTGGGCTGCCGGCGAATGCCGATGGGCTCTGCACAAACAGCGCGGGTGTTTCGTAGTGAAGCGCACTCAACAAAACGCGGGAAGAGTCAAATGTGCTATATTTTTCCCTGAAACGCTTTTGGCAATGTGTAAATACGAGATGTTCGAAACATGTGAACATGACAGCTGTTGGCTTTCTCGTATCCATCGGAAGAGTCTTTGCGCTTTTTGTGCGGATGCCGTGTAGCCAAAGCGCATTGATGTGCACCATGGTTCACAGTGAAGTTCAGTCTTCTTTGTTCCTTCATGTAATATATCTCCTAAATAAAATCCCTCAACATTTTTAGCCGAATTTATTTTTGAACTCAGTAACTCACATCGGACTGAAAATAGAGAAACCCGGTCGGGAAATTAAAATTCCCGTTCTTTATATCTCATCAATCACCAGTCCTAAGGCTGCTGTGGCTAGGCTATATCGTCACCAACAACAAAAAAAAAGGTAATCGAGTGTAAAACTGAAAATGAGCGTTTACCCGGGCGACCTTTGTCCAAAACTAGAACAAAAGGGGCATCGTACGACTTACAGTTGCTGGCGATATGCTGGAATGTGCGAGTATCGACCAGGTAGTACAGACCGTACCACCTGGAAGTAGCGGAGCAAGCAAAGCGTCAGGGCCGCAGCGGCGGTTTTTAAATTTGTAGACAATGCCTTCCCACCCTTCGACGCGCGCATAGTAGCCACTAGACTGCGTGTTTTGTACCACAGTTTGTACTGCCTGGTCGCGGCTTGCACATTCCAGCTCATATCATCGACCACAGTACATCATCCGAGTCGGTGCGGCGACCCAGTTGACCCAGCCATGCGGTTACGCCTTCGCCGTCGGCATAACCGCGCGCATTGCATTATGGGACGCCACAGACCCATACACCAAATCAATTCCCCGCTAAATTTAGCAAAGAAACTCAGTTGGTGTGTAGGTCTGTAAAGTCCCATAATGCAACCCTGCGCATTCAGTTTCCCCGCTAAAATTAGCGGTAAAACAGACGTCATATGACCTCAACACCGATTAGTTTCCCTGCTAAATTAAGCGGGGAATCGAATTAGTGTTGAGGTCCTGTCCCGTCAATTTTCACGCTAAATCTAGTGGAGAAACTGAACTTGTTCATAGGTGATGTGACACAAAGTCATGACACGTCGTTTTCCCCGCTACATTTAGCGGGGAAATTGAATTGGTGTTGAGGTCATGTGGCGTTAATTTTCCAGCTAAATTTAGCTGGGAAACTGGGAAAAGGGAGGTTATGGAAGAGGAGGAGGAGGGGGGGGGTCCCTCCCCTCCTCCTTCGTACCCCTTCCTCCTCCTGCGTACCCTGCAGTCACGGTATATAGCAAGATCAAAATACATCAAGAGCTGCACTTTATACATTAGATTTGTAAACGTCTCAATTTTTTTATACGAGTTACGTTGCCAAGAATGTTTTAGGCGAGTATCCGCGGTACAGCCCAAGACACTACTGAAATAAATCCGAAAGAGCACCGGTAGGTAAAACGAAAACTAGACCACCAGGGTTCAGACCCCTTTCTTACAAACTCAGCCACACCATGCCAGCAAGCGGCAATATGTACAACGAGCAGAATTCACGGAAGTGCTGATAATGCTGTTCCTTTCGTTTCCACAGGACCAGAAGAAAGCCTTGGTGTTTCCGTGGCTCTACGCATTCTCCATGAGCTTTTTGAGCTTTTTGATTTGCGTGACGTACCACTTCTACAACAAGCATTGCTCTCGATCCAAATCCCACGACCTTACCGATAGCTGCAACACCGTCCAGTCGGTGGTCGACAAGAAAGGCAAGCTTCTTATCTTTTCTTCCTTTTTTTCAAATAGAAAAAAAAAAAACACCACCAATCTGTACAATTGGCAAAACAAATTATTGTTATTGCAAACTGTTTCGCTTTGACGTGATGTTTTGTGGCTGCTAATTATGAAGTAGAAAAACAAGTGCATCCACACTTGGTTCAAGCCTGAAAGTACCGTATTTATTTAAGTATAGGTCGACGTTTTTGTTGTTAGTAAACGTTGTTTTGAAGTTAGGGGCTCACTTATAATCGTGACCAAATAACCTCGACTTGTAATAGACCGATCCGACCAGTTTGCTTCCTTGCACCGCCGCTGCTGGAATGGATCATGAGAACTGTAGCCTTTCTGCACGCGCGACAACCCTGCTGGAGCTTTGTGCAAACAGAGCACCAGGCGGCACGAACCATGCACCTGTCCCCTGTGAACTATAGATATGGCGGCGTGGGATGCTTCATGAGATTGGTCTATTGTGAGAAAACTTTCCCGAAACCTTGAGCAACCAATGAGGCTTCCCCGCTCGAGCCGCTGGTGCGGAGCAGTGAAGCTTAATGCGCACGCCCCGATGCAGAGCAGCGAAGCCTCACGTGAGAGCTGCGGGTGCGAAGCGGTGAGGCTGGACGCGAGAGGTGTAGCATGAATACTAATGGTTCGGAGGGGTGTGATTCTGGAAGTTCGGACGATGACGTGATCACTGCGATCGACAAGTTCGTTTTAACTAGAATAACTAAGTGTAAGCATAATGTTAAAAAAAAAAAAGTTTGTACAATTTTTTTTTAAATCGGTGTCAATCAATGTTTAAATAAATATATTTTTTATTAATTTTAGCAGGTTTTTTAGTATAGGGTTCGACCTATATTCATGGTCGACCTCTATTCGAGTAAATAAAATAGTATTTACTATCATAAATAAATTATTAATATTGTAGAGTAAAAACCACACAACATATTTGGACAGCAGGGGGTGCTCATATCATTACAAGACAAGTGGAGAGAATGTGTAACCTAAAAAACCGACACATAAACAAAGAAATATTTTTACAGAAATGTTTCTCCAGAAGAAAATTAATTTTGGGGCAGAATTTTGGAATGTCTGCACGCTAGACTAACTTTCTTCCTGAAGTAGAATTAGACTCTTTCCTGAAGTCACAAAATTAGAACCAATGTATTAAAATATATTTTGTCACTTTATATTATTTATTCACTACATTTCTATCATGATGTAGCCATTTTCCTTCTCTTTCTTAGTGTTGGAGAAAGTAATTTGTTGAATTAGTGTATGTGACCATGTCACAAATCTGAGTAAATTTATAAGATCACTGTCAAAATGACTAAATGTTGCAGGCACGTCAGATTTCGGTATATTTAGCTTAGAACTGCATGCAATTTCGGTGACATTGCTATCCACTAAGTGGAACCACTTCAACTTACTACTGTACAAAGTAAAACCACGGAACGGACGTTCCATGAATTATAGATGAAGTATAGAGGAATCCACAAGGTACTCTAGGTACCTGGATTCAAAACACGGCATAGTACATGTGAGTTTGCATGGCAAATTGATATGCTCCCCCAACTAACGATATATTTCTTTCCATCTTCCCGTTTCAGAAAATGAGAAGGCACAGCTTGGTGATCATCGCATCATCGGCCATGGCGTATTCAACCCTACATTTCAAAACTGATGGTACCTAGCCATCGAGACAATTCTTGCCAAGCGGAGCTCGCTTCTTGTAGTGTCAGGGACCTTTTACAATGAACCCAGGTGGCCCTTCTGACAGCCCAGGCTTGGTAGAACTTACATAAATGCCAGCTGTGGAATGTCAGGAAAGGATATGAATGGTTCAATGCCGATCATCTTTACTCAAAGCTGAGTTATATGCGTACACAGGCAATTTGTGCCTGTGCTCCAGTGTCTCATTTCTCACACCTCCCACAATCACTGCCACAGAATTGCACCTGAATACGTACGTAATCATGGAGTTTAAAGCAGAAATTACGCTGAAGCTGACAACAGCGTAAAAGTGATCTGATAGCTATGCATATGGGGGCACATCAAAAGGTAAGTTACACTTTTGACTAAAACACAAAAATAAAAATACACTCTCATCGTGTATCTTCATTTAAAGGCACAACCTTTATTCATTTATACACATAGTTGCCTAAAAAGTGTAAAAAAAAAGGTCCCATCCAGTTTCGTGCAACCAGTTCTGGACCCGTTTTCACAAAGGACTGCCGCAAGAATCCTAGTGGGAGGTGTGGAAACACCCACGGTACAGGCCCGACATATCCGTAAGAAACTAACTTTTTTTTTGTACAATGAAAAACGAGTTTAGTGGACAGACTCCAAACCAATGAGCCCGTGAAAACTGACTGTACTACAGAACTGATTGCCCAAAACAAGAGGGACTTCAGTATGGGCATGAAGAAGTTCATCACATGTTCCAAAGTGGCTATGTTGAACGATTAATGAAATTAAGGTTGAATATTTAGACGAGCATGCAGGATGCGAGTACATCTATTCAGGTATTTCGGTGTTTTATTCAAAAGTGTACCTTACTTTCTGATACACCTACGTATAGCAAGAATACTGAACTCTTGAGCATTATTTGCAAAAGCCTACGTCTACACTGCGTCAAGTTCAACTCTTGATTCATAAATGTAGAGGAATAGAGCATAGTGTGTTGAGTCTCTAACAATATAGAATACCTTTCACTGTGCATGGCAAAGAAACATTGGCAAGGGATTCCATGTCCTTCTGAGGAGAGGGAAATGTGATAATGCAGCCTAAACCAATTGGCCCAATCAGGCCAGGCTTGTTCCCTCTGCCCAAAAGTCATGCAGAACTGAATAAAGCGAGCTCAGCATCCCTGCCTGTCAGACATTATCTCAGCCATACGATTCAAGTGAATTATTTCAAAATGTTAGAGACAGACTGAACTCATGTGCAGGTATGAGAAAATAAACCTTCCATAAAAGGATGGTAGCAGAGAAGCAATACTAAACCAAAGACAAAGACACCACTCTATGATTGTATGCAGCAAATCAAGATGTCAACTATTGTGAATTCTGTAACTGAAATGTGTGCGATACAATAGACACATCCCGCTCTTTCAACCAATAAAGAAATAATATTACCAAGTTTGGACGGCGATAATTTTTAAAAAAATGTTGCTTGATAGGGGGAGCGGTAGAACATAGTGTGCACATTTTCTATCTAAAGCAGCAGTGTAGCAAAAGTAATGGTCTCTAGAATAAAGTATTCAAGTTGCCATGTAACGGTACTGGGTCGGAGTGTTTCTTGCTTGCTTTACAGGAGCTTACTGGCACTATAGTGTTATGAATGTAGACTCTTTTAAAACACAACTGGCCAAGAAGCTTCTTTGCGGCAGTGTGACTTCAAGGATAAAAGCTCACCTTTCTCTTCAGTGTCTCTTTCGCAAAACTTGTTCGACATAATAACAGATGTTGTATTGTTGGCATAAGATTTCCCTATAACCAGCCCCACAAAAGACTGAAATGTCTGAAAGCCCAACACAATGCACCAATTAAGCTTTCATGAGATAATTTTCTATGTGGACCTAGCTCCCTGTTCTTCTCGCCCTCTCGCCGACTGTAGTGGGACTCGTTGCCAATGCAACCTGCAAATACATGTTTGTGATGTTCCACAAAGTGTTGCAGCATGAGGCATGACCTTGCCGTGTTCTCCGTGGGTTAGCGGCTACTTGGTGCACTACCGTAATACCACGTAACTAGGCTTCGGGACTTTTGGTTAATACACTCTTCCCTGTAATCTCGACAATTAAAAGACAGGTGTTTATCATGAACTTTTGTTCAAGATGTTGGATCAATATTGCTGTACCTTTGGGTCGCAACCAGGGGAGAATAAAAATCAAGATGATCACAATTAAATCGGACCAGTTTAACTACAATTTAAATCAAACCTTTTCCGAAAAATAACCACAAATATATATAAATATCTTTTTATTCACTGTTTGTCTATAATTTAATTCTTTCTATGTTCATTTGTTTTGTACTTAAATGAAAAAATAATCAAGCAAGAAAAATTTACATCAGCCTGAACATCAGCACAATGCAACAATTTTCTGAGAAAATCGAAACGGTGAGCTATCTATCTACCTTCAACTTAGTTGTCAGTTCCGTAACGTTCTATTGCAAGTAAATAAGAATGAAAAAAAAAAAAAACGACAATTAGAAAAGCATGTCCTACAAGCAAATCAGTACATAAAAAAAATCTAATGAAGCTTTTTCACTACCTAAAAAAATAAAGTTGTTTTTGTTCTACTACGATTAGAGAGGAGGGGGGGGGGGGGGGGGGGGACCCCGGGAGTGTATTCAATAAAAGGTTGTTAATGAAACTATAGTTAAGTTTACAGACATTTTTCCTTATCTATTGTTTTCAGTGGTTGGATGGGTTGATCAATATGCCATGTTTAAAAAAATGTCTTAATAGTAAAGAATTCCTATTTTATAGATAGTGTTTTAAATCAAATTAATCTAAATTATATTTTTTTCCCACCTTTGTCACAACAGAAACCACTGTCATGGTTAGAGCACTGCACGGATAACAGTTTGATCATCCGCATCTGCAGACTTCGTATGCGCATCCGAACCGCATCCGGAATGTTCTTACAATAATTGTATCCGCATCTGCAGAGTTTGTACCTGCATCCAAACCACATCCGACCCTCAATCCGTGCATCCATTTTACATAATGAAATCAAGCAGAAATAAGAACTAAAAAAAAGCATCTGAATGCTACCTTATAAGCCGTCTGCTCACCTTTGTAGAAAGATATGTCCGTGTCAGAATATGGTGAAAGCTATGTTATCTTATCCTCTTTTATCATATTTATAAAATAAACGATCACCCTTCAAGAGACACTTTGCATCGCCGAAACGATTATCGCAGTTATCAGGTTGTCTTGGGGGTCAGTGACACTTTCTCCTTTTTGTTTATAAAAAATTAAAGGACAGACTAATAACACTACCTATGTGCTTTTATTTAGGCCAAACAATAAAAAAGTGGAAGAGGAAGGGTGCTCACTCACCACAGCAAAGTACTCGTGTGTATACGTAATAAGGCATGAGTACAGGCTACAGCACTGGGAAAATATCGCAATACTCAATAATGTGAAGAGGGAGCTCCTGTAAACCTCAGAACAGCGCGCCGACGTTTCACTAGTAAAACGGCACACCGTTCGGGGGTTTACCAGAAGCTCCCTCTTCACACTCTTCTGCCAGCTTCGCTCTCCTTGGTGATTTGTTTTATTATTGAATAGGCAGTACCTCCTATCGGTTTCAGCTTTAAACACTATCCCTCAACGGCACGCTCGGAGCCATATACTTAAGAGCAACTCAGTGCCAGCTGGCAAAAAAAAAATTACTCTCACACAAGCAATGCTTCACTTGTCGAGGTTGCTGTGTAGACGAAAGGGAATATTGTCAATATGGATGGATTCAAACAAGTTCCACTAATGAGAAGTCTTTCTTCGTTGGTGCACTTGATGCACCACGATCTGCACTACACGAATGAGGTGCGGAAACTCGTGTTGGCTCAAGTTCCACCACTCCAGAGGATTGAATTCAGTCTCCTCAATCTATTTATAGGCAAAAACCCACTTGCAGGCTTCTACCATCTTGTAGTTTGTACGTTTTAGGTTATCTTTGCCCCCCCAAAGTATGTTTTCCGCTCTTTCCCTGACAAACAAGAACACGCTTTCCCGGGACGACTGATGCTCCTGCATTCTTTACTTTTTCTAGGGACAGCATTTTTGGCGAGATAAAACGTTTAAAGCAATCTTTGGGGAGAATCAAACCTTTCTTAACATAAAGAACAATTTTCTCCCTGATTGACACCTTTTATCGGATGCCAGCCGGGGCATCCGATAAATCATATTTGGCGGATCCACAATCCGCCAAATATGATTAGTTTTTATCCACATCCGCCAGTTTACTGCGGATATCTCCGGATGATCTGCGGGAAATTCGCGAATATACAGGACTCTAGTTATGGTTTTGGAGCTCTTGCATGGAGGAGGAGGACACAGTGGAAGCTATATTTCCTAATTTCTTGTAAATGCTGTGCCTAATTAAAAATGCTTTCTGTGTCTTTTGATGCATTTATGGGAACTGGGAATTTATCAAGGTAAGGCTTGGCCAAAGTTGCAATAAAAATATGTAGAGCCCTTCCATTTCACATGAAGATGGAGGACCAGCGAAGCTATTATCTTTACGACGTCTAGGACGATGCCTTGGGGACGACGTCTAGGACGACCTCAAGGACCGTTCTCTAGGCGTCATCTTTGAGGTCGTCCTAGACATCGTCCTCTAGGACAACCTTGAGGATGACGTCTAGGACGACCTCCAAGACGCCGCCTAGAGGACGACGTCTATAGTAAGTTACAGGTCAAGAAGGTAGCAACAAATGCCCCTCAAAGGGACTCATTATATCCCTCCGCCACCTCCGCATCCAATAGCGTCCCATCGTTTCCAAGAAGTTGCAGCCAACACGGGAGGAGGGTCTTGCCTTCCTGTAAATATTTGCATTATCTTTCGACTGACTTGGCGTTGTGGAAGCCACGAGAGGGAGATAAGAGTTTTCCCCCTCCGATGGAAACAAATACGACCTTTCGGGGGTTAGGTTCCCCCTCCGATGGATACAAAGGCTACTTTCAGGGGCTCGGTCCCCTCTCCAATGAATACAAAGGTAGCTTTCTTAAAAAGCGGGTTCGGAGACAAGTTGGCATCACTCTAGCCAATATCTATCCATTGAAGAGGAACAAGGGGTGTTTCCAGTGAACTATTCTTTCGACTTTGGAGGGATTTGAAACGG